CTGACTTGGCTGTGGTTATACAAGATTTTGATTGCTTAGAAATAGCAGCTACTAACACATTAAAATATTGAAAAAATGCAATAATATTGCATGGGAGTGTGTGTTTTGTGTGTGTGAGGGAGATTTTGCAAGTTTGTGTCTTTCCTCTCTACAGTGACACATTGAGACTGATATGACACACTGAAATTGTTGAAGTGTAGCAGAAAAATAATCTACATTTATTTTCCTTGACAATCAGTATGAACAAAGCAAATAAACTATGTGAACAAGAAAACTCTCCTTTTTTTTCCCTGATCATTTAAGGGTAGAACAGTGATCTAAAGCCCGTTCTGGGAAAATGTTATATTACAACCATTAATTTTATTTATTTTACCAATGACACCCAATTATACACTTGTCTGAATATTGTGGTATAGAATAGTGACTAATCACTTAAGGAAGTGGATGAAGGAAGTTGACAATGTCCTGAAATGCTTTCTATTCTTCCTTACAGATAATTATTTAAAAGAGTAATTTCATTATAATCATTAATGTGGATATGCTTTAAGTGAATAAAAAATGCGTATGCAACTACTTTGAAAGACTGGGTTGCTGTCTGTTACTGATATGGGACATCTTCCCGATCATACCCAAGATGACAAAAAGTCTAATGTGTATAAAATATTAGATGCAATGTGGAATTGAGACTCATGGCTAAGTGTAATTTCCATTCTCCTATTTATTGTTGATGCTTCTTTTTCAACTATAACATAGACTCAAACAAACAAAGCTTTGCAGATTTTAAATAGTCTCTGTGACCTCAGAAAAATTACTTGAAATAGAATATATTAAGATAAATTTATTTCATGTAGGAGTATAGAGCTGCAGTTCCTGCAAGCTGATAGAGGAACTGGTTTCTGCAGGAGTTAATCAGGTATCTGTGGCTGCCAGCTCCTTCCTTTTCCTTTTGGCTGAAAATGCTTCTCACTGGTTTCTGCACCCAGTTGTAGGAGCTAAACTGCTAGAGAACTAACCCTAAAAAAAAGGGGAAATTTTTTTTAAGTCCAAATTCCTGGCTTACTATCTTCACTATCAAATGACAGTGTTCATACAAGCAAGGGATGAAAGAATGCTGGACAAGAGACAAGGGATATTCTTTTGCTTCCAGTAGCTCTTAGTCATTAGATGAATTTAACTCTACCACCCAGTTGTGCCAGTGTCTTTGCAGAGAGCATATACTAGAGCCTTTTTGATATTTTTTCCCTGCTGTTTATATGTGGCTTCTGCAATGATGGGGATCCCGAAGACAGAAACAGACTGTGAATTTATTTTGTTTAGTTCTTGGCAACACGATTTCTTCCTCTTTGTTAATGGCCAGTGTATGTGTTGTTGCATGATCTGTGCAACTTTCAGGAAAGAAAAGATTCAAATGACTCAGCAGATGCATGAAAGAATTGAACATCAATGTTTAAGTGTTGAGGCTAGGAAAAGGTGATCATGAGGAACAATGGTATTCAGAAGATTTTCTTGATTTAATGCAAGATTTGCATTCCTACAGTAAATACCTTATATTCATATTTGTGAGTTGAATTGCAAAACAATAATCTTGAATAGTAACTTCCATTCTTCCCTGAAGCAATCTTCCCACAAAAGTAGAGGAATAAGGGTCATAACTTCATGCCAGATGCACCTTGCAAATGTGACTGAAATTTGATTCACCTGAAGGAAAGAAATATAAAGCTACCATGAAGGAACAAGAAAAAGTCTACCTAAAATGAAGACTAGTAATTTTCTAGTTTTATATTTTCCAGGAACATGATACTGATCACTAAGTTTCTGGTTCTGATTTATGAGATAGGTATTGATGATTTTGCTACATGAAAAAAAGCTATAAAAGTGGCAGGTTAATTACAGAATGTGCCATTAAGGGGTGAGATATGGGTATACCTGTTTTCCAAGTTCCACTCTCCTGATACAGTGCTAGATCTTCTAGAATTTAATTTATACATATGTTATGTACAATCGTCAGGAAAACTTTGCAATCTGTACATATAGAAATCTCTGAGTCTTTCTTCAGGCCCTCTTCCACACTGATGGCAAGAAGGGCTACTTGCATAAGCAGCATATGAAACACTGTTTGCAGTGGTTTTGAATAACTAATTTCTGTAGGATTGCATTTCTGCAGAGCAAGCAGCCTACTTTGAAGTCTGTACTAGGAGGAAAAGAAACAAAACCAAAATGTGAATCTACCAAAGTATTTTCCTCCTTTTGTGTAATGACCTAGTGGCTTAATGAGTTTAATTTGTTTTAGGTTGTGGGGAATCCTTTATCCTTTAGTTACTGCAATGGAACTTAATTATTTGATAACATAAGGACCTGAAATCCCTACATTTCCTCTCAAGGAATTTTCATGGCATTTTATAGATGGCAAATAGAAACTAGAGGATGGTTATCGTAGATTCCTCAATGTTTGAAATATCTTTGTATGTTTTTCTAGGATATTTTTGTTTTATACCCAGAAAATTTCAAAGCATCTTTATTAAAGATACTCCAAATACTATTGATATAGTATGTGGTTATTTTTTGTTCTCTTCCATTTTTCATATGTCTTTTCACCCTTTAAAATGCTTTTCTGTGTTGTAGATGAATATAACCATTTCATTGCACTCTTTTTTTTCCAAAAAAGTCTTACAATGCCTGATTTTCTCCTCCTGATTACTACAAAGGAGGATTTCAAGATTTTTGTTTCAGTGTGAAAACTTCCCTCACGGAATTTTACAATAGCTCTTTTAATTGGCTTCCGTTTATGATGTCTACTGGTGTATCTTGTACTTATGTGTTCCCTTAGAGCTTAGCAGTTATATTATGACATTTCTGTACACACAGTAAAGCAGTGTAAAGTTATATGAAAAGAGAGTGAGGACACAAAATTTCAGGATCAGTGATAAACAGAATACAAATTAAAGCTAATATAGTGAAAAAGTAAGTGGTTTGAAGTTCTCATTTTACCACTAAATTTGCTTTCTTTTGTAGATTCAATGTCCAGGGTTTTTTATGTACCTTTCATAAAATATAATTTAGTGAGTTTGTGTTAGGAGGAGTAGGTATAAGGTATGTAATTGCCTATCAAAATTAATGTGTATCTGCAAAGGCAGGATGTGTTTATTCTACTACATTTTATATGTATATATGTACCAAATATATCCTGGAATAATTTTTTCCCTGTTCACAAATAAAGAACTTTACAAGTGTTTTATTAAGAAAAAAATGAATATATTTATTTAAATTGTTTGATTGGAATGTATACCAGTGGAATTATTTGGAAAAGAATTAAGAGTAAATTTTTGGGGTAGCCTGTGCTAGTAGCTGTAAAAATATTTGCTCAATGTCATCAAAGGTACAAAATAAGAGAGATTGCAAAATTCAGGCAGATAGTATGAATTGCTTTCCTCATCCTCTATTAAATGAAAAATCAGCGTTAGAAAGTGAAGAAAGTCAATGTTTGTGCATAACGAGACTTTTTTCCTCCTAGATTTTTTATTTAAATGGAACATTTCAGCCTAATAAATATGACGGATCATGAGTTAATTGCTTGAGTTTTATTATATCATTTCAGCTGTAGCACAGCATAATGTGGTGGAGTGTAATCAAACTTGACGTAGTACAAGACATTGAGTGATGACAAAGACCACGGACTATTCACTGGAATTTGCTATACTGAAGAATACATAATTCCCCAATGAAATGTTTAGCAGTTTATGCTTTGTTGATGAAGACCTAGAGTCTAATTGCTATCTGTGGCTTTTGCCTCTAGGAAATTTTTGGGGTCCATAGCCTACATCAAATTTTGCTGCTTCCTCAGGCCTTTTAGGAGCCTACACTGTGAAATAACGATGGAGTGAATCCAGACATCAGTCTTGGACTCCTGTTCTCAAGACTTTCTCCTTGTAGAAGTTCTTGTTTATTGTTTGACATTAGGGATATTAAAGGTAGATGAAGCATTCAGTACACATGCCTTGCATAAAGCACACCAAAAGTTAAATTGTAGCAGAACTAAGGGACACATACTGCTTCACATAATTAGTATTCCTGCCCATAAAAGACTGTAGATCAATATCAGCTAAAGTTCAGATTTTTTTATCTCCTTCTTCTGATTGTAATGAGCTACCCCCAGGAATATCTGCTCTTGTATAAGCAACTGCTGAAAGTTCAGTTAAAACCTTTTCTGAACCCCAGATCTTTTGGTATATTTTGGTAGCTCTCCTCTTATCAAATTGGTCCTCTCATTGGACTCCAGCAGTATGATTCTGGTAATCAGTTGGAGCAGCATGAATAGGAGTGATAGGTGCAGATATGGAATAATTAAGATTGTCCTGCTGTCTCCCTTGTTTGAAAGATTTGGTTTCCTGTGTTCCCAGACTTACTTTGCAGCGCAAGGCAGAAAAATTTAAAGTGTAATTCCTTAGTAGATTTTATTTCTGGGTTTCATTTGAGGGTTTTCCCCTGTATCCTGCCAATTGTTTTCTGTCTGCCTGTAGGAAGGTTTTGGAATACTATGTCAAAGTCTCTTCTGAGCATAATGTCTGGAGACATGGATGATGAAAACATATGCATATACGGGTATTTTAGCATTGATATACTTTCCTTTTGCAATTTCTCCCATAGGGAAAAAGAAAAGAAATATTGGCAGAGGCACATAGTTATTTATGGGAGTCCAGAAATTAATGTGGTTTCTAGGTTAGTTTAATGTTTCTGCTTCCCATTTCACTGGAACGGGCCCATATACAGCCTTGTCCAACTGCTCTTTAGCCAGTGTTTTCTGCTTGAGACAGTTACACTACATTTGGAAAAGAGATCAACTCTCCATTCTAGTGTTAATACCATTGCAATTCTCATTTCATGTGTGGCAGATTGCCTTACAGAGCCAAATTTAATGCATTTTTAATTTAAAAAAATCCAAATGAAACAATATGATGTTACTTATCAAAGTTATCAAACTGTACATCTCCTTATTTTCACAGCTCACCATGTTAAAACTGGGACCTGTGAAGTGGTGGCGCTTCACAGATGCTGCAATAAGAATAAGATAGAAGAAAGATCACAGACAGTGAAGTGTTCCTGCTTCCCTGGGCAGGTAGCAGGTACCACCCGGGCAGCTCCTTCTTGTGTTGATGGTGCGACTCCTTCTATTACTTCCTTTCTTTGTGCTCCTAGGAGTTTTTGCTGGCTTAATGTCATTAATGATACTCCATTACTCCAATACTAATTAACTTCATTACAGTTAATTTTTAAAAATAAGAGCAGGAAATCTGCATTTTGAAGGGGGTGTCCAAGATGAATGTGAGGAAGATAGAAAAGTTAATTATTTGCTATTGCTCTCTGGAAATGCTAAACCAAATTATTAGGTACCAGTGAAAGAGGCTTCTTGAGAGGCGAAATTTGATCTAACTAAAAGAGGATTCTTGTGGTTGTATGATATTCACTTAATTAAAAGTATTTATGCAAAACCTACATAAGCATATAATTTTCATGTGCTACAGTCTTACATCTAATTTATTTATTTATCTCACTGGAAACAAACAAACAAACAAACAAACAGAACACAGTTCTGTCTGGTTTTTAATCTTTTTAGACCTATACTATTCACAGTGCAATATTAGTGTCTTAACAATTTTGGTGTAGACTCATCCGTTTTATTTGGGAAAATACTAGCAGAATTTCACATCTCTTTCTCTAAACATGATCCCTTTACACGATCTCTTTAATGCTGATATGTTGTTGGTTGTCAGAGAAGCAGTAAATATGTCATCATGGGGAATAAATTTAATCAAGCTATGCTAGGCTATATTATAGACCTAGCAAAAGAAGAGATTCCACTTAAAACTTTGAAATCTGGCTGAGCAAGATAAAAATGAGGTTGGAAAGAAATGCTGTGAACAGATTGACTTCGAAACACATAGCACCTTTTGCAAATTGGAAACCAAATATTTTATGAAGGTTCTGAGGTGTCTGAAAATCACAGACCAGCTGCCAGTCAACATATTTTTCATATTTTCCTGGAAAAGAAAATAAATGGTGCAATGTAATGACATCTTAAAGTGTCTATTTCAACAAAATAAAAATACATTTGTTTTCTTCTCTTGTAGCTTCAATAGTGGAGCAGAAATGGTGGTGCCACATGCAACCATGTCTTGAAGGGGAGGAATGTAAAGTTCTTCCAGATCGTAAGGGATGGAGCTGTTCCTCTGGGAATAAAGTGAAAACAACTAGGGTAGGTATGATGCAAACCTGACATGTTACCAACAAGCAAAAAAAAATAAAAGTTCACAGGAAATTGGATGCACAAAGAAGACCTAAGTTGAGAAGCATGGGAAGTCAGTTGTACTGGGATTGGACTCCTGGTCCTTCACACTTTTCTCAGCACACTTTTCAATTGTTTTAACATAGTAAGCTGTGTGCCAGACTTTCTCAGGTAAGCACTAGGGATAGCAGAGTTGATCCCTTCAACTAACAGCAATGATCAAATGCATTATAATTTAATATGTATTTCTCTCTAAAATCAGTTGCACAAAGTCTGTACACTTTGCTAAGCTCTTCATTTAAAGGATAGCAAAGAAATATTTTTATCAGTTACACGGAATTACCATGTTTCTACACAGAAAACACTGAGTATGGTAAGCATTTGATGTGTCATTACAGTATGATCTGGTTCTTTCCATCTTGTATAACTGTGATTTACTAAAAAATTTTGACAGAGTTTCAGGGAGTTCCTTTCCTCCATTTGAAACTTTTCATATTATTGGTTCAAATTTATGTTAACATAAATATATTTAAAGGTCATCATATACAATGCCTGACAACACAGTAAATATGCTGTCATGTTTGCATTTCAGTGTCTAAGAGAAACAGGAGAAAAACAAATTATTCAGATAAGCATTAAACTAAATTAAATTAAACTTCCTAAAACTACAGCATTGTATCTTGTCAGAGTCAACACAATTCTTCATTGACATACAAAAGATGAAAATATACTCTGAAGACACATATGCATGTGTTTAAGTATAAACATCTTCCCCCCTGCAACCCAGCACACTCGTACTCATGACTGACTTTTCTTTTATGTATTTAATAGTTTGTAGTGTCAGGCTGTAATATGCTAGATTGGTATTTATACAGGTGTTTGAGTATCTATGTAATTTTATTGAAATATTCTTTACATTGGCACTAAATTTCTGGTACACATTGGTTGTGGTGAAACGTAGCATGCACTGACCTAATTATATTCCTTCTGTTCCACAGAGAGCTCTATGTCTCAGTTTCTGTATTTATAAGTCTCCAAAATATTTTTACATTCTTTGAAGGAAGGTTACTTCCTAAATGTTTGTTTTACAGTTCCCTTCCTGAATCCACTTTCAGATGTGTTTCTTCTGAAGACAACCTTGCTGGAATGCTTCCCACACTTAATTTTGTACATGCCAATGCAAATCTTATTATATGCACGTAAAATGTATGTGCATATATAATATAATCAAAAGGAACAAGATAGATATTTAATAATAATAGAAATAGAAGAAATAGAATTGCATGTGTTTTGAAATTTTTCCTGGTTACTACTACATGACACTAGTAGTGTTACAGAATACTTGCCATTTTATATGTATTGAGAGAGTTTAACAAATGGTAAGTAAAAATGCAGACCTGGAATTATATGTCTGCAGGAAAAAAGTGGTCACAAAAGGGGAAAAATCAATTATGATTGCTTTTATGACATTTCTTCTTAAAAGTTTGTTTGAATGTAGGTTTCTCTGCATGGGTTGAGGTTATGAAATTTTTTCCTCTGTTAGAGATCTAAAGAAGCCCAAAGCTCCTGTCCTCAGGAGCTTATGCCTTTGTTGTTATTAGACTTTTAGGTCTGTCTCTTTGCAGCAGCTGGAATTATCTTGTTCTCCATGGTGGAGGCAATCCTCAGGACTCATTTCATACCTCTTCAGTAATGATGCTTTGGAAAAGCCAGTCCTTTTCTAAATTTGCTGTCATAAACACTGATTCAGTACAACAGCTGTCATAACCTGACACAGACCTAGCACCACTGAAAGAAAACTACTAGTCACCTTAAATCCCCAATATTTGTTCTGCCTTCTAGATTTTCCAGATATTTTATGTTTTCCTCCTTTTTCCTTCATTTCCCACAGAGCAGCAAGGCTATTCTGAGACAATAGCAAATTTCAATTCAAAATTCTGACTGGAAGTTGACTTAAGTCTTTGAAATCAGGTCTGTCACAAGTGAATGATGGTCTCTGTCTTTCAGATACTGCTACCTGTGATTTTAAAAGACATAATTCTGATGCCCAATAAAATATATATTGCTATTGGTAATATGAGTGGTTATTTGCGTTAACAGAGTAGCTTATTATCAAAGGGCAAGTACTTTTCCCTAATATGCCATCACTACCATATTTTTGTAGCTCGTCTTTCTGCCCCCCATAGTTTATAGAAATAAAAGGAAAAATTCTAAATTACTCTTCTTTTTTTTTTAACCCCCCATCTTTTTGAGAAAAATAAAAGTAGCTGTACAGAAAGCCAGTATTAAGAAGTTATGAACAATAAGATTCTGATTGTTAAATGAAATAACCCATATGTGATTATTATGTATTACATAAAAGCATAAAGAAACAAAGGGAAATAAACAGCTTGAGTGATTTATGTAGATAACAGAAAAACCTTCTCAAGACTTTCCTGAAAGGCTGAAAAGAAGTTTATCTTCACGTCCAAACATTTTCTGTAAGTTTGCCTTCTTCCTTTGCCAAAATCCTAACCAGTCACCCACTAAATATCTTCTACAGGATACCAAGTTCAAAAATAGCACCTACATTTCTACATCTTAAGCTGTTAATAGTTAACCTTTATTTTAGATATAAAAACAGTGGAGAAAGGAGGTATTTTGCTTGTCCATCTCTATTTACATGTCTCACTATTGTAAAAAATTATGGTACTGACTTCCTAATGGTTATGGTATTAGCCACTATGATGCTGCTGTCTGAGCTGCACTCGCTTTGCCACTATGGTCCCGTGCCTAGAGTGGGTCACACTCCGGGAGCAGGAGGCCTTAGATGTGGCTCGAGATATGGCTCCATGGCCTTTTGGCTGTCAGATTGCATTCGAAGGAGGCAAAGAGGAGGGGGAGGTCTTTTGCATAGGGTAAAAAGAATTTATTACTTTGGGGAATCTGCGGGGCAAAACAAAAATGGTGAAGGTGAAACAACTTAAATATGGGGGACGTTCAAGGGGAAGGTACAAATTCTTAGCAAATTGGAGAAATTCTGAGGAGAGATAAAGGGTAGAGTTTACAAAGTCATTGTCTAATGAAAGAGGCAGGGGGAAACCTGGGTCACATGGACTAATGAGACCTCCTGTTCTAGGGGATTTCCAAAGAGGAATTCCAAGCAGGAGGCTGGCACAAAGCAGGATTGACAGGTAGTTTAGGATAGATTGACAAGGTGGGAGGGTATAATTTTGGACTAAACCATTAGCTTAGGCAATAACAGAACATACCATTAACAAGAAACACACTGCAACATCACTAAGCGAAAAAGGCCATATGAAAAATGGCAGAAAACGAATTGATTTTTAAAATTGTGGTTTACCTAAGATTTTGTATTTTGTTCAATTATATAGGTCTAATAAGGTCATACGTGAATAATAGATTAGAAATACTCAGAATTCAAATGTTAAGAAATCGAATTTGGAAATTGTTTACCTTTAGAATACAAAACCAGGTATTGTTTTCCTAATTTATTTGCATAGTAATTGGAAAAGGCTAATATAATGAATTAACCATAGAAAAAAAGCTGAATATGGGGAAAACGTGTATGAATAAGAAGAGTACTGGTTGTGCTGATTTAGAATTGACTACTTTGGGTCTATGTAGCCTGCAGGAGAGGAATGGGGGAAAAGCCAATGACAACTTAGGTAATTCAGTAAATTGTTTTACTTCATATAAAGAAAGATGGGCTTTTGTTCCTGGGCATAATGCAGCAACAAAAGAGAATGTTCATGAATACATTAGGAGAATTATGAAATTATTATGAGCATTGCTGAGATTTTGCCAGACATGCTTGGGCATTTTCCTCCAGGCTGAGAAACTTTTGTGAAAAGAAAACAATTGCATTTTTTCCCCTCATGGCTAGCCTCAATTTTTAATACATAAACACAAAAATTTTGTCACTTTGCCCTCTTTAAATGATGAGAAAACTGTTTCAAGATAGTGGAAAATCTAATTTTTCCTTCTTTACATTTGAAATCCTCTTTTTTCTACAGCTTCTTTCTAATATAATTATTCTAGTTCCAGAAGTTCTCCTTCATATTTTCTTTCTTTTATGTGTTTCCTTTCTGTTCTTGCAATACCAAAAAGGGTCTGTATAATAAAAGTAATACTCCCATCAGTTGAAAAATATATCATTACTATGTATACAACTGAGAATGACAATTTTAAAAGTCTCTGAGTTGATATCAAATAAATGAGCCCTTCACAAAGACTGAAAACTAACATTTTGCAGTCAGATAAGAGCTGAAGAGAAATAATTAAATATTTCTCTTAGTTATGGGGTGTATTCCACTTCAGAGGTCTCTCTCTGAATAGGGCTTTTCCCTGGGCAGATCTAGATGCCAGGCTTTACCTGTATTTCTAAGAGCAGTACATTGCCTGCTATTCTTATGATACAGGCAGGCTTAACATAAGAGCACGAGAAGATGTATGTAATCTGTATGAAAGTGCACGTTGCAGTGCTTCCTGGGGTCCCAGTTCTCCAGGCATCCACTCTGGAGCTAGCTTGGAACATATCATGGCTCCTGGGCAGCTCATAAACCTTTGTGTCTTTCCTGCAGAACTTAGAGAAAAAGAACAAGGGAAAGTGGTGTATCCTGCGTCTCATCTCGAGATTCTAGAGGTGGAACACGACTAAAGAAGTGTATACTTGCTCCAGGCAATGAGACAGTGTTCCTGAGCTGACATTTTATTAACATATAGAGAAATATGCCTTGGTATTTTTCATGAGAAAAAGTATAGAATAAAATCGGCTATTTCAGTTAAAAGGGACCTACACTGATCATCTCATCTGGTGATCTGACCAGTTCAGGGCTGACCAAATTAAAACATGTAAAATAACAACATTGTCTAAATGTCTCCTAAGCACTGATAGGCTTGGACACATCTCTAGGAAGCCTTTTCCAATGTTTGACCATCATCTTGGTAAAGAAAAGATTCCTAGTGTT